TGACTAGACTAGATGCAATAGCCTGCTGCTGCTGCTGCTACTAAGTTGCTTCAGTCGTGTCCGACTCTGTGTGACCCCACAGACGGCAGCCCACCCGTCCCTGGGATTCTCCAGGCAAGAACACTGGAGTGGGTTGCCATTTCCTTCTCCAATGCATGAAAGTGAAAAATGAAAGTGAAGTTGCTCAGTTGTGCCCAACTCTTAGGGACCCCAAGGACTGCAGCCCACCAGGCTCCTCCATCCATGGATTTTCCAGGCAAGAGTACTGGAGTGGGGTGCCACTGCCTTCTCCAATACCGTAGTCTAGATGGCTTAAAAAAGAGAAATGAATTTTCTCACTGTTCTGGAGGCTGAAAGTGTGGGGATCAGGGTGTTGGTAGCCAGGTTCTGGAGGGACTCTCTTCCTGACTATAGATGGCTCTCTTCTCCCTGCAGGCTCACAAGGCTGAGAGAGGGGAAGCTCTCTGGTGTGTCTTCTTATAAGGGCACTAATCCCAATACGGGGGCCTCTACTTTCCTGATCTCATCAAAACCTGATTATCTCCCAAGGGCTCTATCTGTAAATACTGCTACATTGAGATGGAGGTAATTAAGGCTTCAACATATGATTTTGGGGGGGATACAATTCAGTATTGATAATAATTACAATTAAGTAATTGATAATAGTTGTCTCTGGGCCCCAAGAGGGAAACAAGAGCTACAGAATAGGACTATAAAGGTGATTTTTCACTGTTTGTTCTTTATACCTCTGTAATTCTCCAACACCACCTGGGTGTCCAACAATTCCATTCAATTCTGATACTATTAATATTTACCTGGAGTTAGCATCAGATCCCACAAGTTCAAGGGCTCAGTTCCACAAAGTTGCCCTGACTTACGGATGCCAATCATAAGTCCCAGGCCACTTAGTACTTCTGGCCAACCAGCTATAAATCAGGGGTTTGAATGACCCCCTCTGTGGGTACAATAATTCGCTAAAATGGCTCATAGAACTCAGGCAAACATTTACTAGCTTAGTATAAAAAATGCAAATGAACAGCCTAATGAAGAGGCACACAGGCGAGGTCCAGAAAGGTCCTGAGTGCAAAAGCATCTATCCCCATCGAGCTGGGGTGCTAGGTGCTTGTGTGCACGCTTAGTCACTTCAGTCACATCCAACTCTTTGTGACTCTACGGACTGTAGCCTGCCAGGCTCCTCTATCCATGGGATTCTCCAGGCAAGGGTACTGGAGTGGGTTGCCATGCTCTCCTCCAGGAGATCTTTCTGACCCAGGGATCGAACTCACAGTTCTTACATCTCCTGCAGTAGCAGGCAGGTTCTTTACCACTAGTGCCACCTGGGAAGCCACCTGGGAAGCTCCGGGTGCTAGGTGGCTCAGTGGTAAAGAACCCTCCTGCAATGCAGGAGATGTAGGAGACACGGTTTCAATCCCTGAATCGGAAGATCCTCTGGAGGAGGAAATGGCCACTCACTCCAGTATTCTTGCCTGAAAAATTCAGTGGATAGGGAGCCTGGTGGGCTACAGTCCATGGGGTCCCAAAGAGTCAGACACAACTGAGCACACAGCACATCCTCCCAGCACGTGGATGTGTTCATCAACCTGGAAGCTCTCCAAGCTCTGTTTAGGGATTTTTATGGTGATTTCATTGCAAGGGTATGATTGATCAAATCACTGGCCATTGGTGATTGAACTTCATCTCTAGCCCATCTCCTCAACCCTCTGCAGAGGCTGAGGGGGTGGGGTGGGAGTGAAGTTCCAACCCTCTAATCAAGGCTTGGTCTTTTTGGAGGCCACTCCTGATCCTGAAGCTATCCAGAGGTCCATGATCACCTAATGAGCACAAACTTGATTATGGTTGAAAGGGGCTTGTGATGAATAACAAAAGACACTCTCTGTCACACAGAAAATTCCAAGGGTTTTAGGAGCTCTGTGCCAAGGGGGCGTGGAGAAGGGCACAAAGACCAAACGTATATTTCCTATAGTATCATAATACCTTTTGAATTTTGATCTATGTATACACAGGCACATACACACTAAATAGTCTTAAAATATTGGAGAGGGGGGAATGCTCAAGAAGCCTGAGTTAACCAAGTTCACATAACTTGTGAGGGCTAGACCTGGGCCTCAGATTTCCTTACTTCTATTTAAAGATTCTTTACAATACGTCATGATTATTTTTAATCTCTTTGAAGATGTTTACTGCTTTTGCGACTTCAAGGATCTGACATTTCTAGTTTTCGCGTTTTAAAAAGATGAATTCTCCAGACTTTGGGGAATGGGACACTTGAGGGAGATCAACATTCATGTAGTTTTTTCCAATGATCAGTGCAAGACATAGTATACAGAGACAGCTATTTATATCATGCAGATTGGAAAAGACTTGGAAACTGTCCCATCCAAAATACCTCTTTACTACTCTGTTCAAAGACCTGAAATAAATTCTACTACTGTAAATCTCTTAAGAGCAATGCAAATATTTCTAAGGGAGGTACGTCTACATTCTGAATAACCATCACTAACTCCTAAAAAAATGAATGTATTAGGTTCCCACCTCCAGGTCAGATTTCAAGAGCAAGTTCCTACAGGAATGGGACTAAGGATAATAAATTTTAGTAAAAAAGAAACTTTTAAGGATCAGTTTAATCATCTGTAAAATGAGTGAGCTGGACCAGTGTGTCATCGGACTTTCTTCCTACAGGGCTCTGCTAAATACCTTATTTAATTTATTCCATGGAAAAACTGGGATATGTGGGAAAGGGGAGGGGGGTTGCTTTTCTCACTTGTCAGATAATGAAACTGAGGCTCGAAAGAGGTGAATCTCTTGTCCAAGATCACCAGCCAAGGATTCTGTTTCACATGATCATTTAACCCCAGGTTCAGTGACCTTTCCACTGTATCATACTTATTCCTCCATCTTTTGAGTCATATTACACGGTATGGTGCTGGGATTCAAAACTGAAAGATGAGGCTCCTGCCTGTTGGGGTCTTCAGCCATTAGAGAAGACAAATACTTAGCTACATCATCAGCTCCTTGCTAGAGAAAGAGAGAGGGAGAGGGAGAAAAGGGGGAGAGAGAGAGAAAAGGAGAGGGAGAGGAGGATGAAGAGTTGGGAGCGGGGATCAGCAAAAGCGTCACAGAAGAGGTATATCACTGAAGCTGAACTAGGAAGGATGAGCAGGTGTTTGGTATAAAGAAAGGTTGCGCCAGTGCCCTCAGGTGAAAAGACTTCCACTTAAAGTGGAACACAAGGTTCTCTGTCAGTTTTCTGCTGCAGAGAGAAACTGTGGGGCAGAAGGGCCTTTCAACCTCTTTTGGATGACATCATTTGTCATCCCCTTGTTCAGGTCTGTGCCAGATTGTTGAGGGCCACAGGCTCCTTCTAACTGGCTCCTCTGCCATCACTGTGCTTAGTCGCTCAGTCATGTCCGACTCTTTGTTACCCCATGGGCTGTAGTCCGCCAGGCTCCTCTGTCCATGTGGATTCTCCAGGCAAGAATACTGGAGTGGGTTGCCATTCCCTTCTCCAGGTGATCTTCCAAACACAAGGATCAAACCCAGATCTCCCACATTGCAGGCAGATTCTTTACCATCTGAGCCACCAGGGAAGCCCCCTCTTCCATCCCTATGTGGTCCTTTCTTTAAAGGGCTATATTATGAAAGAAGATGGAAAGTGACCGATAAGTAACAGGCCATGCCATAACTTTTTCAGTGGCTTTATACTTAGTTTTACTTTCCAGATTATGGTGTAGGGGATTGGAAGCCCTCTTGGCATTCTCACAAGACTCAGGAACACACCCAGATAACAAGTGAAAGACAAGAACCAGTTTTCATCATTGATCAAAAAAGAAATCCATCATGGCTACTGCCTGGACCAGCTGGAGCTGTGGGTGAGGGCTTCTGGAACAGGTTGCTACTTGATGGTTTTGAGATACCTCATTGTGCAACCCTCCCCTTAACATCCCAGGCTCATAAGAAACATACTTTAGAAGCAGAACTAAGAAGTATCTTTCTTCCCTTCCTCACACTTGCTTCAAAAAACAAGTTTTGACCACTTTGGTTAGTATCACGCTGACATACAACTGCCTCCAAGGTGGCAGTGGTTCTCCAGCTCACTTACAGACCTGGAAACACAAACACACGCAGAGACCTCTTGCACCTCCTTGAGTGAAATCCATCTTCTGCTACATTCTTTACATTTCTAACACAGATAAAATACTCAGGGTTCCTGGTCAAAACTCAAATTCATTTCATGCTCTTAAAAAGAGACAAAGGTTATTCCAAATCTTCTGCAAGCTCTACAAATGCCCTGTTTGCTTGCTTGCTTGCTTTTATGGTAACAGGGGAACATTGCATTCACCTGAATCTTTAACACGTTGTGATTGTTTATAAATCAGTACTTTTAAAGCTACTCCAGAAAGGGTCCTTGGTGGGTGTGCAAGTGAAACGCACCCAAGAAAGACTGTGCTGTCTAGGATAAGAGAAAATTACATAGCTTCGGAAAGAGAGAGGGCAGGGAGGGTGAAGGCAAAAAAGAGGAAGGAGGAAAAGAGAGGAATCTGAGTGGCCAGGCTACCATCTTCCCTGTCACCCAGGCTTATAACTTCAGGGACTGCTCACCTCCTGACATTGATGTGCCCTCCGCAGGCAGTCAAAACCTGCCATTCTTCCTTCTCTGCTGTTTAAGTGGGAATTCCCTTCATTCTGTTCCTACTATCATATCTTTAACCTGGATCCTCAACACTGAACTCAGAATATATCAGCTTCCCGGCTGACCTTCCTACCACTAAATTCTCTACCCTCTGTCACACTCCCACTATCAGACCAATCTTCCTAAAACATTTTGTTCACCACACTGGACATAGCCTTCAGTGGCTCACCACTGCCCTTTAACTAAAGCTCAAAAGTTTTAGCCTAGAATTCAAGGCCTCAGGCGTGTAGCCCTCTAACTTGTCCTTTTTGGCCTATCTTCATAGCATTAGCTTTTAGTAAACACTTACCAAGGGGCAGGCGCTCTGTTAAAAGCTTCTAAATGTTATTTGTCCTGTTGGAATCCCTTTCCAGGTAAGGCGTTATGACCCCATTATTTGTGAGATCCTGTCGGGTAGCCATTGAGGGGGCTGAACATGTGATACAGTCCAGCCAATCAGAGTATTCTTCCACCATAGGTCAGCCAATCAGAGCATTCCCTGCCCCTAACAGGCCAACCAATCAGAGCATTCTACTTGCTGCCCGCCCCCCCCTCCCGCCCTGCCCCAAGCCCAGCTGTAGGAAATTTGACTTTTAGGTGTGGGAGAGAGTGGGTTTCTTTCTTCTGGGGTTAAATCTACACAGAAAAGCAGAAAAGAGAAGAAGAGATAAAGAATGAGAGAGGCGGGGGGAGGCCTGATGATATTGTTTGTCCCTCTGGATCCCACCACACTGGCAGCTAGTTCTATATCCGGACTTTTCCCATAAGGAGTCAAAAAGTCTCTTCCTTACTTAAGCTTGTTTGAGTTAGGTTTGCTGTTATTTGCAACTGAAATGTTGATTAGAGCCCTTTACAGAGCTCTAGTTTAACCCTTAACCCATTTAACCCTCACCACAGCCCTGTCACTTTCAAGCAATTTGATGAGGGCAGTGACACCAGAGAGATACGATTTACTGGAGGTCTCACAGTTTTTAATGTGGAGAGATCTTCAACCAGGCCTTTAATGGTGTCTTCTAAAACCCTTCAGGAAGACATGCACAGTGTTTCTGTGTGCCAGGCACCAGGCTGAGCATAATACACTTCTGCCATCCCATCTGCTGCTGTGCAGACCTCACACAGGTCTTAACTTTTTACACCTGGATCTTTACACCTCAGGCTATTTTCTCCACTTCAGATATGCAGATGACACCACCCTTATGGCAGAAAGTGAAGAAGAACTAAAGAGCCTCNGAACTGAACTGAACCGAGCCTGGTCCAACTCTGCCTGGCTATATTTACTTATCCTTCAAATTTGAAATCAGATGTCAGATCCTTCTGGAAGCCTTTGAGGTTACCCCGCTCAGAAGAAATTACTTCCTCCTTTGAGTTTTTAAGACTTTAACAGGGGGCAAATGGGTGTCTTCTGGAGCTTACTGCCTAGTAACTTGTGAGCATTTCTTATGGAGATTCAAGGACTGGTGGTTTGAAGTCACCAGCTTTCCACTCCAGTCATTTCAACCGTAACTCTGCAAAAGCCACAGTTTTTGTTTTTTTTTTAAAACAAGTAGTGCCAGTGTTGTGGTCATGAGCAGTAGTTTTAGAGTAAGAACTGGGCTATGTTGGAACCTGGCTCTGCAACTCTCAAGCTTGGGCAACCTTAAACAGATTGCTTATTCTCTGGGAGTCACATTTTTCTTACCTGAGTATGAGGATGAGAACAACTTTGATCTTAGTTATGAGAAGCAAATGAGATAACCAGCATTAAGTTCTTAGCATAGTGTCTGGCATATAGCATATATATCTATTTCTATATCTATCTATCAAATTTTTATGTAAGGGATCATACCTTCTACTCATGTTGCCTCCACACACAGAGGAGAGACAAGTAAAACACATATTTACTAAATGAAGGATCAGTCTTACAAATAGCCGCTCCCTTAAAACTTCTCCCAGGCTTCTACCAAAAATGACCAATAGCAGCTGCTTGAGGAAATAAAAGAGAATTGGAAGAAGCAAGCTAGGATAGAGGTGGGGGGAAGGAAGAGGGAAATGGTGGTCAGGAAATAAAAGCCCCTTCTAAGAAAGAGTATCCTAAGAGCAGTGAAGGTAATCAGGGTGAGCAAAAACCAGAATTATTTTTGTTCCTTAGACTAACCCCTGCCATCTCTTACTTGTCTTCTCTCAGTGGACAGCAGGTGAGATAGCCAGTGCCATAGGCTCTAGTGCCTTTTGAAATTGTGCACCATTCCCCCTTCCGTCCTCCTCTTGTGAGTGGGCACAAGGCAGTTGTGCTGCAGTGGGTACAGCTTACAGTGCTTGCAGCTGCAGCAACTTCCTGATCTCTGGGCTGCAACTATGGTAGTGTGACCTTGAAACAAATATTCAGGTCGTGGCCCCTGACTTCTCCTCCAGCCCTTCCAACAATATTGAAAGTATACTGTCCCTTTTATTGTATCCCTCTCTTCTTGAACTACCTAGAGAGGTTTCTGTTTCCAGCACTAACTTCTGCTGAATACATGTAATATATTTAAAACAAGCATATTAAAATTAGTTTTAAATGTTAGTCAACTTAAAGTTTATTTTAAAATATGTTTATAAAATTATGATATATAGATAAATGGTCACCAATGGCTGGATACTAAAGAAAGGACTTGGAGCTTCATTTTATTGTCATCAAGAATCCAACATCGAGCAGCAGCTGAGCTGTGTCCTGAAGAATTCATTGATTTGGCCAGAAAGTGGGGTGCTGGGGTGAGGTCAGCTTGGACATATACATTTGGGAGTCATTAATATTAAGTTTTGAAAGCCAGAAGATTAGATCATTGGCTTGCAAACCCATGCAAACTTTTTTCTATAAAGGGCCAGATAGTAAATATTTTAGGTTTTGTGGGCCAGTCTGTCACAATTACTTAGGTTGGCCACTGTAGTTTGAAAGCAGTTATAGACAATCTGAATGAATGAACGTGACTATGTTCCAATAAAACTTCATTTGTAGAAGCAGGTGGCAGGCCAGATTTGGCCTGTGGACTGTAGCTTACCAGCTCTTGGACAACATGATGCTACTAGGGAAAGTGTAAAAAGAGACAAGAGAGCTCAGAGTCCTGGGGTTCTCCAACACTTAGAGAAAATTGGAAGAGGAAAATCAAGAGGTTAGGATGGCATAGAAGCAAAGGAAGATATTTCAAGAAGGACAATATGATATTGTGGTGCTAGTAAACATTCTGAAAGATTTTGAAATGCCCTCTTTAAAAAAAAAAAGACTATCTGTTTAATACCCTTTCTTAGGGTTACCTTCATATTTCATAGTCTTTGAGCTATTTTATAACTTTGTAAGTTGTCAAAAACTAATAATAATGCAATAATCCTTGTCCATAGAAATGAATTGTTTCCTGTGGAATGCATTGATTGTGTTGATGATAATGGTGAAATGCAATTACTCTTTGGATAGACCATTTCTGCATCTATTTGTAAATTTGTTATAGCATTCCTTATTGCTTTAAAAATGAACTTTATTGAATTCTTCTTTGAACTGATTGTAATATCTTATTCATTTCCTTAGTAAATAATGAGTAAAATAAAATCATTGACAAGTGTTCATTGTATATTTGTATGTGAGCCATGGTTTTAATAATTATTTTTTAGCAGTGGAGATTGGGTAAAATAAGGATTTAAAATTGACCTTTGAATTTGGCAACACAAGTCATGGTGACTTTAATAAGTTACTTTGGAGGAAGTAGTAGTGAAAGATTGGAGTAGATTGCATAAAACTGTAAAAATAAAGACATAGGCACAGGGAAAATATATACACCAATGGAACAGACTTAGAGATTACAGAATAAACCCACAGGTGGATAGAAACTTTATAGATTACAGAGGTGGAAATGTAGTGAAAAGGATGGAATATATTCAATAAATGGTGCTGGGACAATATTTTACCAGTATGGAGAAGCCAATATTGAAACTTTGTGTGTGTGCTAAGTGGCTCTAGTTGTGTCCAATTCTTTGCAACCCTATAGACCATAGCCCACTAGGCTCCTCTGTACATGGGAAAACTGACTCTTTGCCTCAAATCAAATAATCCATTCTAGTGGCCTTAAGACTTACATAAGAAAAGCCAAAGGCTAAAACTTTTAGAAGAAAATATAACAGAATATTTTTTGATTTCATGGTAAAACCAAAAATTTAAAACAAGGTGCTAAATCACAAGCTATAAAGGAAAATATTTATGAATTTGACTTTATTAAAATAAAAAATACCACTTCTGATCACCGAAAAACCATAAAAAGATCGAAAATACAATTATTTCCAGTGCTTACCTGACAAAGGTTTCTGAACTATGCAAAGAACTCTTACAAATCAAAATAAATAAAATGAATCTGGTAGAAAAATGTGCAAAAATATGAATAGGCAATTCTCAGGAAAGAAAATCCAGATCAATGAACATATGAAAAGATGTACAACCTCAGTACTAATAGAGGAAATGCAGATTAAAACTGCAGTGCAATACCATTTCACATCTCTGAAACTGATTAATATTTAAGAGTCTGATGAGCCAAGTATTGGTAAAGGTACAGGGAAATTAGAACCTTAATACCCTTCTGATTGGAAGTCAAGTTGGTGAAACCACTTTGGAGAGCAATTTGGCAATAGTTAGTTGATGCATGCTTCACTACACAACTCCATTCCTAAGAATATACTTTGGAAAAACTCCAGTATGTGCACATAGGGACTCTTTACAGCAGCATTGCTGTAGTAAAAATCAGAATACAACCTGCAAGTCTATCAATTAGAAAATTCTTAAGTAAATTGTGATCCGTTGGAACAATGGAGTACTAAATAGCAATGAAAAAGAAATGAACTAGTTGTTGTTTAGTCATTAAGTTGTGTTTGACTCTTTTGCAACCCCATGGACTGTAGCCCACCAGGTTTCTCTGTCCATGGGATTTTCCAGGCAAGAATACTGGAGTGGGTTGCCATTTCCTTTTTCAGGGGATCTTCCTGACCCAGGGATCTAACCTGAGTTTTCTGCATTGGCAGGTGGATTCTTTATCACTGAGACACCAGAGAAGCCCACATTTAGGTAACCGAGTTGGTATTTGGAGAGTTGGAAAATTAGATGTTGGTATGAGAAAAACACCCACACATTTCATGTCAGAGGTGTTCTATGAGATATAGAAACTATAAAACACTGATGAAAGAAATCAAAGATGACACAAATAGATTGAGAAAATACCATGTTTATGGATTGGAAGAGTCAATATGGTGAAAATACCCAAAGCAATCTATAGATTCAATGCAATCCCTATCAAGATACCAATGGTATTTTTCACAGAACTAGAACAAATAATTTCCATAATTTGTGTGGAAACATAAAAAAAAGCTTGAATAGCCAAAGCAATCTTGAGAAAGAAGAATGGAATGGGAGGAATCAATCTGCCTGAC